CAAACTCCAGCAGTTAAAAATAACATCAGCTGTAATGAATAGCAGCATCACTAGCACCACCAACAACAACAACAGCAACAACAACAACAACAACTAAAACAACATCGTCATAAACAACAACATCATCAACAACATCAGCAACAACATCAGCAACAACATCAACAACTACATCCACATCGTCATGAACAGCAACATCAACAACAACATCAACAACAACAACATCAAAAACAACACAAGCCACCACATAAACATCAACGCATAAGACAAATACATCATCATAGTATACAGTTACAAAAAGATTATTATGAATTGCAAATAAAACAGCAACAACAATCACAACAACAACAACCACAGCCACAGCAACATCCACAACAACAACAACAACAAATCTTTCTTTTAATTTCTCAGCACACTTCACCCCCACCAAAACATCAACATCAGTTCAACTACACAAAAGAAAATTTTTTGAAATTTAAACAACACAAACAACAACAACACAAACAACAACACAAACATCAACAACAACAAAAACAACAACGACATATTTCGTTACAAAATAATACTCACACCAAGCAATTATTTAGACTTGGCACATCTTACTACAATAAAAACAACAACAGCAACAAAAACAACAATCCTTTTTCTTTTTCTACTACTAATACTACTACTACTACTACTACTACTACTACTACTACTACTACTACTACTACTACTAGAAACAATAACAGTCGCAACCGTGACAGCGATTTCAATAGCTTCAACAACAACATTAACAATCACATAAATCACCGAAACATTAATCTAAATTACAACAACGACAACAACATCAACAAAAACAACAACAACATCAATGACAACAACATCATCAACAACAACATTAACAACAACATCAAAAACAACAGCAACGACAACAACAACAACATCAACTACAACCTCAGTAACATTAATGACAAAAACATTTACTACGACAGCCACCAACGTATTGACATCAATAAAAAGGCCAATAAAAGATACATTCATAAAAAACTTGAATTTAATAACGATGAAGACGACGACGACAACAACAACTACAACAACAACAGCAACAACAACAGCAACAACAACAACACAAACAACAGAGACAAAGCTAGTAACATCATTACCACCAATAACATCAACGATAGTGACATTAACGACATGAATGACAGAAACAACGATCTTAAAAGCAGCAGCTACCACAACAACCACAACGACAGCCACAACCACAACAGCCACCACCACAATGTAGTAACGGCCTCACCGGGCGACAGAGTTGGTTTGAGTTGTAGGATTGACGATCTCGGCTCCAAAACGGTGCTTATATTTTGCTCATATGATAATTTTCATTTTTAACTACTACTACTACTACCACTGCTACTGCCACTACTACTATAACTTTTACAACAACAACAACAATCTCTACTACTACTACTACTTCTACAACAACAACAACTTTTAGCACAACTGTTTCTACAACTACTGCTTTTACTACTACTACTTCCTTAATGAACTCTTTCACAACCATCCTACCTTCTTATCATTATGTTGTATCATATTGAGGAGGAAAATAAAAATACTGTATTGTATTGTATTGTATTACATTGCATGGTATTATATTGTATTGCATTGCATTGCATTGTACTGTATTGTATTTTAATGCATTGTATTGTATTGTATATTGTATATTGTATTGTATTGTATTGTATAGTACTTCTACTACTACTACTACAGATAATCTGGCGCAAAGTCGGACGCAACCACCCATTAACCATAGGGACGAACTCATTTGTGGCTGAGAGTCGCTTTAGTGTCATCCACAACAGCTACACGAACGAGTGGCTACTGGTCATTCAAGACGTCCGAGCTATGGACGAAGGGATGTATGTTTGCTACATCAACGCTAAAAATACCACTGGCTATTCTGTGCATCTGGACGTCAGATGTTGGTATTTTTTCTCGGTTGTTTGTTCTTCTTCTAGTGTTTTGGGTGTATTTTTGATTTATTTTGGGTGTATGTTTGGTATATTTTAGGTATTTCATATTTTTTGTATATTTTTCCGACACAAATTTAGTGTTATTAAGGTATATTTTGCTTCGATTTAAGGTTTATTATGTGTATTTTGTGGCTTCACGCTGAATATTTCATTATTTTCAATTTACATTTCATGTTCATGTTTGGTTTTCAAGAATAGCATCAGTGTTTACAAGACTTTTGAGTCATTTTATTGCCAAGAAAATAGTAATAAATACTGCATTACAATACGTTTACATATCTTTTACAGCAATTATGTGCGATTTTTTTTTAAACTTTGTACTTCGGATGATTGCATGAAATTTGTGTGTGTGTTTGTATGTGTGCGTGTGTGTGTGTTTGTATGTGTGCGTGCGTGTGTGTTTGTATGTTTGTGCGTGTGTGTATGTAAGAGTGCATGTGTCATACATTTCCAACACAGAAAATAGCACAATATCTATAGCGATTAAATGCATTATCGTAAAAATATCATGGGAATACCAGGTCTGTATGTATGTGTGTACAGATGCGTGGAACGCGTAAAAGTAATTGAAAAAGAAAGTAATCTTCTCACTAACAATGCTAGTACTAATATAATATTATATTATATTATATTATATTAGATTATATTATATTATATTATATTAGATTAGATTAGATTAGATTATATTATATTATATTATATCATATCATATCATATCATATCATATCATATCATATCATATCAAATCATATCATATCATATCATATCATATCATATCATATCATATTATATTATATTATATTATATTATATTATATTATTTATTTATAATATATTACATTATTATTATATTTATTTTTGCTGAATAAACTCATTATTTAATTGAATTGAATATAATATTAGCAAATATAGAACGCTAGTAGCATTAATATAAATAGTATCTGTGACCAAACGTAAGTATTGTATAGCCAGTTGCTAATTAATTAGGAGTATCTGTCAAAATATGATGATGTTTTGTTGCAACACACAAAAATTGTACATGGGTAGATCAGGCCGTACATTCATCTCAGTTTGAGTAACTTAGTACACAATTATCGTTTTAATCGTAGTATTAATGTAGAAGTGTGTAGCACATTTTACTGTTTGTTTGTGTGTCTGTGTATGTTTGTTTGTTTGTATGTTTGATCGGTTGGCCGCTTCATTAGTACAAGATGCTAATGCCAAATTTGGCTTCCAATCAGAAATTATAAGATGAACGCGAGAAAATTATAATGCGCAAGTGAGATCTAGTTTTACTTTCGATTTCTTACTGTGTGTTTTTACTTTGTGGAAAATTTATGACTCACACTCACACGCACACATACACGCACACATACACATAAACTCATAAACACACCTACACACATACACACACGATAACTATTTTAAAAGATACCAAACAGTTGAAATGAATTCTTTTACAAATAAAAGTTTCAAAATCATCCTTTTAAGTTCCTGAAATCCTGTGTTATATTCAATATAATTTTAACACACACACACACACACCACACACACACCACACACACAACACAAACACACGTGATATACTATACACTCATGATACACGCACAATAAAAAACGTATCAGTCGTTACTAGGCAATAAAAGATATCCAATTAAAAGTGGAATTAAGTTGTGATTCGTCTAACATTGCAGCGCATACATCAACAAGCCTAAGCGTGTCTAGTTGCCGGTTGCCGAATGTTTTCACGTGTGTGTGTGCGTGTGTGTTCGTATGTGTGTGTGCGTGTGCGTGTGTTCGTATGTGTGTGTTCGTATGTGTGTGTGCGTGTGTGTTCGTATGTGTGTGTGCGTGTGTGTTCGTATGTGTGTGTGTGTGTATGTGTGTGTATGTGTTGTGTGTGTAACGTGTGTTTATTGTGTTTTTATGTATATGTGTGTTTATGAGTTTGTGACTGGCCAACTTATTCGGCCGAATTCTCTATTCGGTGCTTCTTTAGACTGTTTATATGTGTGTGCGTGTGTGCGTGTGTGTTTGCCTATTAGCCTTTCATTAGGCCATTGTGTTTTGTCAGGCGTTTTTTGGTTTTGCTGTTTTTATTTCTGTTCCTTAATTTTGTATGTGGGTTGTTTTTATTTTCTTAATGATGGCGTTGTAATTATGACGTTGATGATGCTGTTGTTGTTGTTGTTGTGTTGATGTTAAGGATGGTGACGATGATAAAGATGGTGATGATGATGATGATGCTGATGATGACGATGATGATGATGATGATGATGATATTCTCACTTTTACGATAATGCGATGCAATGAGGTCTGTACTTCCAATTACACTTTTTTCCGTCCCATGAATGAGTCGATGATGATGACGATGATGATGACGACGACGATGATGATGATGATGATGATGGTGGTGGTGGTGTTGATGATGATGATGAATAATGAGACATCTTTTTTACATTTCGATCGTGTAGACGATGATGATGAAGAAAAAGAAAAAGATGATGATGTTGTTGATGATGATAACGATGATGACAATGAAGTAACGATGATGAACATCATTAATAATAATAATAATAATAATAATATTATTATTATTATTATTATTCCAAATCATTAACATTACGGACCCTTGTACAATGGAAATCCTATCAATTATTCAACAGGCTATTTACTCTTATGGAAAATTCATCACATTTTTAAATTATAGTAAATTTATTTTATTTTATTGTTTTGCCGCCAACACATCAACAACAACAAAACAACAACAACAACATGAAATGACGTCACCAACTAACCTCAACATCAACGAACATCAACCTACAAAACAACAACAACCAAAACAACAACAAAAATTGACGTCACCAGCTGACAACAACAACAACAACAAAGCCCCAAACAACAACAACAAAACCTCAAATAACCACCACAACCCCAAACAACAACAACAAATGACGTCTCAATCACCATCAACAACAACACATACACACAATTATTCCTACTACTACAATAATTATGACCTCATCTAAATAACCGTTCATTACTTGAGCCGGTGCGTACAATTACGTCATAACTCATATTTTAACAACAACAACAACAACAACATAAACTAAATAATAATTATAAATAATAATAAATGATAATAATTGCAATAAAAACAACAGCTAGAGGAGTGGAAACAATCATCATAGACAGTAACGCTAACGCTAATATAACGACATTAATAATACTAATACTAATAATTATAATCATAATAAGTATTATATAATAATAATTATTATTATTATAAAATAATATTATGAAGAGGATTGGCAGTCATCGTAATAAGCATCTGGCAAACATAAGCTAATAAACTTTCATTCTAATAAGTAAAACAAATGACCAAGATGATAATGATGATGACGACGACGATGACGATAATGATGATGACGACGATGAGGAGGACGACGACGATGATGATGGTCATGTCATGGTCACAGTTAAAAACAAAACTTGTAAATAATTTTGCTATGTACTGTCATGAGAGTGATAACAAAATGTCCTCTACGA